AATCCGCCGACCCTGTCGGCGTGTGGAATGCGTTGTTCGTCGTGGTTGTTGTCTGTGGAATGCGTTGTTCGTCGTGGTTGTTGTCTTCGCACGTACTCGTCGTCTTCCTTTCTGGGTCCGTCGTCCGTCGCCGCTCCCCCCGTCCTTCCGTGGGCCCTCGTCCTCAAGCGCGCCAGCCAAAGCGAAATGAAGCAACCCAGCCAAAGCGAAATTAACAACGTTGTGATTGAGTCGATGGGAACCTGGGAAGCCCCTTCCGTTGGATCCCTTCCCCGCCGGGGGGGGGGGAAGGGTCCCCGGGGGGGGTCCCGGGGAGGGGTCCCGGGTCAAAATACCATCCCCCGTTTGCGGTTTTGCTTTGACAGAGGGCCCTCTGAAGATGCGCTGGAGGAGGGGGGGGATCGCCACGACGGATCTGCAAGAGCGCCCCTAGACGGCCCCCAAGCCCAGACAGCCCAAGAACGCCTAAGGACGGCCAAAGGGGGCCCTCAGACGAGTCAAAAGAGCCAGAGCCCCACAAAGACTCTCAAGAAGGCCCAGAGAAGCCATGTTCAATGATTTTCGGAAAGGTTTTGTCCCCGCCCTCTCCCTCCCATTTCCGTCGAGAGCCGAGGCCTCCAGAATTGGTTGCTCCTACTCGTTTCCTCTCGCTGCTCCCTCCTCCTCCTCCTCCTCCTCCTCCTCCTCCTCCTCCTCCTCCTCCTCCTCCTCCTCCTCCTCCTCCACCACATTCGTCTCACTGCTCCCCCACTCATCCTCCTCCTCCCCCTCTTCCTCCCTCATCCGCCTCCTCCTCTTCCTCCTCCTCCTCCTCCTCCTCCTCCTCCTCCTCCTCCTACCCCCCCTCGCTCGCTTTCATCTTCGTCGTCTTCAGGGTCGGCGGCACCGGCCCTAAGGCCTTCGCAATACAAGGAAACGGCCCCCACGGCGGCCATTAGACGTATGCGCACCCCCCTCGCCCTTCCCCTGGAACCCCTCCCTAGAAGGCTTCGCCCCACACGAGAACGTCATCACGCGTACCTCGCTCTTTCCGTCATCTGGGCCGGCATGGGAACGGAAAGAGCGGACCAGGAACTTGCCCGAGATGGCTCACGGCACCCTTCGCTCTAGGGAGCCTTGGTGGTAAAAGCTTGTTGCGTCACTGCTCGCTCGTGCGAGCCTTGGTGTTCAGAAACTCTTGCGTTGTCACTCGCTCTTGGGAGCCTTGGTGTTGAGAGTTGTTTTCGTCACCGTTCGCTCTTGCGAACCTTGGTGTGAAGAGCTTGTTACGTCACCGCTCGCTGATGGGAGCCATGGTTTTCTTGAGCGCTTCTTGGGCCTCGTCGGGGTCTTCTTGGGGCCCTTTGGAACCCTTTGGGAGCCCGTTTGAAGCAATTTTGGACCCGTCTTGGGGCCCTTTTGGGCCGTCTAGGAGGCCCTTGGCCGTCTTGGGGCTCTCTTGGGGGCCTCTTGGGGCCCCCTTGGGCTCTCTTGGGGCCGTCTTAGGGCCCTCTTGGGCCGTCTTAGAGCCCGTTTGGGCAGTTTTGGGCCCCCGCCTGTTTTGCCCCTGAGGGCCTCTCGGGAAGGTCTCTGGAGCCGTCTTGAGGCTCCCTTGGGCCGCCTGGAGGCCATCTGAGGCTCTCTTGGGGCCGTCTTGGTGCCCTCTTGGGCCCTTCGGGGCCCTCTTGGGCCGTCTTGGGGCCCTTGGGCCGCGTCACTCGAACAAATGCATTGAAACAGGTCATGAGAACCACCCGGGAGCCGCTTCACTCGAACAAATACGAAGAAAACAGGCCAGTACCACGCATCCGCGCGCGCCTCGCCCCTCCCCTGGAACCCCTCCCTTCAAGGCTTCTCCCCACAAAATAAAATACATCACTCGTACCGCGCTCTTTCCGTCATCTGGGCCGGCATGGGAACGGAAAGAGCGGACCAGGAACTTGCCCGAGATGGCTCACGGCACCCTTCGTTCCCTTGGTGGCAAGATCTTGTTACGTCACTGCTCGCTCTTGGGAGCCTTGGTGCTCAGATACTTTTACGTTGCCGCTCGCTCTTGAGAGCCTTGGTGTTGAGAGTTGTTTACGTCACCGTTTGCTCTTGAGAGCTTTGGTGTCAAGAGCTTGTCACGTCACCGTTCGCTGTTGGGACCATTGGTGTGGAGAGCTGTTTGCGTTACCGATCGCTTTTTTATTTCGCGTCTCTGGGCCTTCTTGGGGGTCTTCTTGGAGCCCTTATGGGGCCCTTTGGGGCCGTCTGGGGGCGTCTTGCAGGCCTTGGACCGTCTTGGGGCTCTCTCGGGGGCTTCGGGGGCCATCTTGGGAGCCTCTGGGGGAGCTCTCGGGGCCCTCTTGGGCCGTCCTGGGGCCATCGTGGGCCCCTCTTGGGCCGTCTTGGGCCCGTCTTGGCCCGTCTTGGGGCGCTCCTGGGGCCCTTTTGGGTCGTCTACGTGCGATTTGGGGGACCTCTTGGGCTGTCTGGAACCCTGCGAAAGCCGACAAATCTGATATGCTAAGAATGTAGCTTCCCCATAATCATTTGACGGTATTAGCCTCTGTGGGGTCCTCTTGGGGGCCTCTTGGGGCCCTCTTGGACCGTCTTGGAGCCATGTTAGGGTGTCCTGGGGGCCTCGTGGACATTGGAGCCAATTTAGGCTGTATTGGAGCGCTCTCGGGCCGTCCTGGGGCGTCTTGAGGGTGCCTTGGACCGTCTTGGGCGTTTCTTGGGCAGTCTTGGGCGCCCCGGGGACCCCACAAGGCCATTAGAGCCTAGGTTGGCGCGCCTCGCCTCTCCCCTGGAACCCCTCCCTCAAGGGCGTCGCCCCACCAAATAACGTACATCATTCGTACCTCGCTCTGTCCGTCATCTGCTTGGCATGGGGACGGAAAGCGCGTTTGTTGTGTGAGAGCGCGGGATCGCTGGCTTAGTGTCTTGGAGCCCTGTTGGTGCTAAGGCTTCGGCACGACATACAAACATCTAGCAACCAACCCTGCGAAAATCACTGAACATTGCACTTCTGGGCCTTCCTGGGGGTCCTGTTGGGGCTCCTTTGGGTCGTCAGAGGGCCCTTTGGGCCGTCCTAGGACCCTCTTGGGCCATCTTGGCGGGCTTGGGCAGTCCTGGGGCTCTCTGGGGGTTCTCATTGGTCCCCTTGGGGACCTCCTATCAAGAACACCCCCCCAGAGGCACCCAAGACGCCCCAAGAGGCCTCGGCGAGAAGGCCAAAATTACTGAAGTTGCTGAAATTGTTGCCACAGATTGGCCTCCTGGAAGGGGGCCCTGATGTACTACGGCCCCACCTTTGAAAACGATCTCATCCAAGATAGCCCCAAGGCTGCCGCAAGACGGCCCCAAGAGGTGCCCAGGAGGCCTCGAGGGGCCCCCGAGAGGCCTGAAAGATGCACACAAGAGGCCCCCCAGGGGCACTCAAGACGCCCCGAGAGGCTTCGGCGAGAAGACTAAATCTCCCCTCCTTTGATCGATCTCTTCCAAGATGGCCCCAAGGTGGCCCCCGAGGCTCCCAAGGAGGCCCCACGAGGTCCCCAAGATGCCCCCAGGAGGCTCCCAACAGACTCCGAAGAGGCTCCAAGAAACCTCCCACTTGCACCCAAGACGCCTCGAGGAGGCACCCTGGACAGCCAAGAGACCCCCTAGACATCCCAAGCAAGAGGACCCCCTGAAACTCTCGAAAGAAATCAGAAGAGACTCCGAGAGGTATCCAAGAGACCTCGGGCCTTTCTGCCCGGGGCCCGCTCTCCTCCTCTTCCTCCTCCCTCCCTTCCTCCCTCCCTCCCCTCCCTCCCTCCCCCCCTCCCCCCCTCCCTCCCTCCCTCCCTCCCTCCCTCCCGTCCTCTCTCAATTTCCCTCCTTCTCCCTCCTGCTCCCTCCATCCCTCCTCCTCCTGCTCCTGCTCCTGCTCCTCCTCCTTTTCCTCGTCTCCCTCCTCCCTAATCCCCATCCCCCTCTCCCTACTCCTACTCCTACTTCTCCTCCGAATCCTACGCCCTCCCACCCACTTGGGGCACGATGTCTTACCCAACCCTTCATTCCACTGCACTCCTCCGCATCCCTGATCAGGGCAACTAGTCTGGGCGTCGTTTCCGGCGAAGCCTAAAGAATTTAGAAGAAACTGGTGGGCTCTCGGCTGCCGCCTTGGAGGTCCTCCTCGAGAACTCTCGGGGAGTCTTCAAAGCCATTTGGGCCGCTGGAGGCGCCGAGTGAGCCGTCTGAAACGTCTGGAGGCCGTCTCGGTCTTGGGACGGCTGGAGGCCGCCGTGGATCGTCTTGACGGCTGTCTGATCGCCCTCGGAGTCGATGTTGAAAGTGTGCGCGGGGTGCCCCGGCACTCCCATTTGTGGTCCAGCTTCTTGCCCAGAAGTGCCCTGACCCTGTCCCCCTTTATATGTATATGTTATGCCATGCGTGGCTATGCGAGGCAACTGATGCTACGATATGCTATGTGGTGTCGTCCAATGTCACACAATACTGCTGTTGCATGAAATGTCAAGCGGCGAAGTGCTACGCATTGCGATGCTGTGCAGCGATGGACAACGCATGTCACCCCATTGCATTATACCCAGTTTCGTGGCATTGAGTTTTATAACTACCCCGTGACAAGACCGCACGTTGGCAGAGATGGTCACAACAAGAAGCGACCACTCCGCCCGCGTGCACCCAGACATTCAGGTCCAGGAGTCGGAACGCAGGAGAAACATCTAGTACAAAATATTGCTGAGCCATGGACATTGGGCGCAGCAAGCATGCTTACACAAAATTGTAAAGTTACGCGCAATCCTTTGAGAAGCTGCAGAACCACAAAGTGGACGCTGCCACGGCTGGTGCAAAGCCCAACCCCGTCCTGCCTGTATGACAGTGTACTGCAACATCGGACCGAATGCGGTCAAGAATATTGAACAACCAAGGTACATAGAAAATACCCTCAGTAGCAGCCCGTGTTGTTGTACCTGCACGGCTGGTCCTCGAAGCAGCACAGGCCGGGGCAGCTGGAATCATAGACGACGGGCAGGCCCGTGTTGATGCCAGACACGGCCTTGCACTCGGCGTCGTTCGTGGGCGTCGTCTTCACCTTCTGCTGCGCCAAGGCTGCGGAGTAGCAGCCCGTGTTGTTGTACCTGCACGGCTGGTCCTCGAAGCAGCACAAGCCGGGGCAGCTGGAGTCGTAGACGATGGGCAGGCCCGTGTTGATGCCAGACACGGCCTTGCACTCGGCGTCGTTCGTGGGCGTCGTCCTTCACCTTCTGCTGCGCCAAGGCTGCGGAGTAGCAGCCCGTGTTGTTGTACCTGCACGGCTGGTCCTCGAAGCAGCACAGGCCGGGGCAGCTGGAGTCGTAGACGATGGGCAGGCCCGTGTTGATGCCAGGCACGGCCTTGCACTCGGCGTCGTTCGTGGGCGTCGTCTTCACCTTCTGCTGCGCCAAGGCTGCGGAGTAGCAGCCCGTGTTGTTGTACCTGCACGGCTGGTCCTCGAAGCAGCACAGGCCGGGGCAGCTGGAGTCGTAGACGATGGGCAGGCCCGTGTTGATGCCAGACACGGCCTTGCACTCGGCGTCGTTCGTGGGCGTCGACTTCACCTTCTGCTGCGCCAAGGCTGCGGAGTAGCAGCCCGTGTTGTTGTACCTGCACGGCTGGTCCTCGAAGCAGCACAGGCCGGGGCAGCTGGAGTCGTAGACGATGGGCAGGCCCGTGTTGATGCCAGGCCTTGCACTCGGCGTCGTTCGTGGGCGTCGTCCTCACCTTCTGCTGCGCCAAGGCTGCGGAGTAGCAGCCCGTGTTGTTGTACCTGCACGGCTGGTCCTCGAAGCAACACAGGCCGGGGCAGCTGGAGTCGTAGACGATGGGCAGGCCCGTGTTGATGCCAGGCACGGCCTTGCACTCGGCGTCGTTCGTGGGCGTCGTCCTCACCTTCTGCTGCGCCAAGGCTGCGGAGTAGCAGCCCGTGTTGTTGTACCTGCACGGCTGGTCCTCGAAGCAGCACAGGCCGGGCAGCTGGAGTCGTAGACGATGGGCAGGCCCGTGTTGATGCCAGACACGGCCTTGCACTCGGCGTCGTTCGTGGGCGTCGTCCTCACCTTCTGCTGCGCCAAGGCTGCGGAGTAGCAGCCCGTGTTGTTGTACCTGCACGGCTGGTCCTCGAAGCAGCACAGGCCGGGGCAGCTGGAGTCGTAGACGATGGGCAGGCCGTGTTGATGCCAGGCACGGCCTTGCACTCGGCGTCGTTCGTGGGCGTCGTCCTCACCTTCTGCTGCGCCAAGGCTGCGGAGTAGCAGCCCGTGGTGTTGTACCTGCACGGCTGGTCCTCGAAGCAGCACAGGCCGGGGCAGCTGGAGTCGTAGACGATGGGCAGGCCCGTGTTGATGCCAGGCACGGCCTCGCACTCGGCGTCGTTCGTGGGCGTCGTCCTCACCTTCTGCTGCGCCAAGGCTGCGGAGTAGCAGCCCGTGGTGTTGTACCTGCACGGCTGGTCCTCGAAGCAGCACAGGCCGGGGCAGCTGGAGTCGTAGACGATGGGCAGGCCCGTGTTGATGCCAGACACGGCCTTGCACTCGGCGTCGTTCGTGGGCGTCGTCTCACCTTCTGCTGCGCCAAGGCTGCGGAGTAGCAGCCCGTGTTGTTGTACCTGCACGGCTGGTCCTCGAAGCAGCACAGGCCGGGGCAGCTGGAGTCGTAGACGATGGGCAGGCCCGTGTTGATGCCAGGCACGGCCTTGCACTCGGCGTCGTTCGTGGGCGTCGTCTTCACCTTCTGCTGCGCCAAGGCTGCGGAGTAGCAGCCCGTGTTGTTGTACCTGCACGGCTGGTCCGATCGAAGCAGCACAAGCTGGCGCCAGGCTGCGGAGTAGCAGCCCGTGTTGTTGTACCTGCACGGCTGGTCCTCGAAGCAGCACAGGCCGGGGCAGCTGGAGTCGTAGACGATGGGCAGGCCCTTGTTGATGCCAGACACGGCCTTGCACTCGGCGTCGTTCGTGGGCGTCGTCCTCACCTTCTGCTGCGCCAAGGCTGCGGAGTAGCAGCCCGTGTTGTTGTACCTGCACGGCTGGTCCTCGAAGCAGCACAGGCCGGGGCAGCTGGAGTCGTAGACGATGGGCAGGCCCGTGTTGATGCCTGGCACGGCCTTGCACTCGGCGTCGTTCGTGGGCGTCGTCCTCACCTTCTGCTGCGCCAAGGCTGCGGAGTAGCAGCCCGTGTTGTTGTACCTGCACGGCTGGTCCTCGAAGCAGCACAGGCCGGGGCAGCTGGAGTCGTAGACGATGGGCAGGCCCGTGTTGATGCCCTCACGGCCTTGCACTCGGCGTCGTTCGTGGGCGTCGTCCTCACCTTCTGCTGCGCCAAGGCTGCGGAGTAGCAGCCCGTGTTGTTGTACCTGCACGGCTGGTCCTCGAAGCAGCACAGCCGGGGCAGCTGGAGTCGTAGCGATGGGCAGGCCCGTGTTGATGCCAGGCACGGCCTTGCACTCGGCGTCGTTCGTGGGCGTCGACTTCACCTTCTGCTGCGCCAAGGCTGCGGAGTAGCAGCCCGTGTTGTTGTACCTGCACGGCTGGTCCTCGAAGCAGCACAGGCCGGGCAGCTGGAGTCGTAGACGATGGGCAGGCCCGTGTTGATGCCAGACACGGCCTTGCACTCGGCGTCGTTCGTGGGCGTCGTCTTCACCTTCTGCTGCGCCAAGGCTGCGGAGTAGCAGCCCGTGTTGTTGTACCTGCACGGCTGGTCCTCGAAGCAGCACAGGCCGGGGCAGCTGGAGTCGTAGACGATGGGCAGGCCCGTGTTGATGCCAGGCACGGCCTTGCACTCGGCGTCGTTCGTGGGCGTCGTCTTCACCTTCTGCTGCGCCAAGGCTGCGGAGTAGCAGCCCGTGTTGTTGTACCTGCACGGCTGGTCCTCGAAGCAGCACAGGCCGGGCAGCTGGAGTCGTAGACGATGGGCAGGCCCGTGTTGATGCCAGACACGGCCTTGCACTCAGCGTCGTTCGTGGGCGTCGACTTTACCTTTTGCTGTGCCATGGCTGCGGAGTAGCAGCCCGTGTTGTTGTACCTGCACGGCTGGTCCTCGAAGCAGCACAGGCCGGGGCAGCTGGAGTCGTAGACGATGGGCAGGCCCGTGTTGATGCCAGACACGGCCTTGCACTCGGCGTCGTTCGTGGGCGTCGACTTCACCTTCTGCTGCGCCAAGGCTGCGGAGTAGCAGCCCGTGTTGTTGTACCTGCACGGCTGGTCCTCGAAGCAGCACAGGCCGGGGCAGCTGGAGTCGTAGACGATGGGCAGGCCCGTGTTGATGCCAGACACGGCCTTGCACTCGGCGTCGTTCGTGGGCGTCGTTTTCAAGCTTAAATGCTCATGCCGACTCACCTGCATCATCTGCGAGCTCTTCTGGAGCATGCCGGTGTCATCCTGGTCTCCTGCGGCGCACTGCTGACCTGCTGCGCAAGGCGCTTGCGGGCCCGAGGCGCGCGCGAGTGCCAGCAGCGAGGCGGCAACGATGATAGAATAAGAAAAAACAAAACATAAACATAAAGTTTGGCGATCCGCGCGGGTTTCTTGGATTTGCATTGGACCCCCTCTCCCTGGCGCGCGGAGCTTGCCGGGGGCGGAGCCGGAGGCACCGCCAGGGGTGGCCCAGCGCGGAGCCAAGAAGTCTGCTCGGAGCGTTAAGCTTTGATGTTTATGTGTTTTTCCTTTTTCGAGATGAGGAGCGCCATCTGCTGAAAACTCTAGTCCTTCTCGCTTCTACTGCAACGACGTCAGGCGCGCTTGAATCAAAATGGTCACGGAAGAGGGGAAGGGGAAGGGGCGACGGGTGCAGAGGCCTCCTATCCACGGAATCTCTGGAGTTTGCCGGATACTGCGTTTTTTTGTCATCCCGTTCGTGGACATCCTCGGGGAGACGGGGATGACTAGGCGGTGATGCGACTGTCCCGAACGAGCCCAGGAGAGGCCCAGGACGGTCCTGAAGAGCCCCAGGAGGTCGTCAAAACGGTCCAGATCGGCCCCCAAGACGGTCTCTGAAGTCGCCAGACGGCCTGGCGGCACCCCAAGACGGCCCGAGAGAGCCACCCAGGATGGCCCAAGTGTCTCCAGAGGCCCCCAAGGCCCCGATGGTCCCACAAGAACCCCACGACAGCTCGAACGCAGCCCCAGAGGGCCGCATCCTAAGTGTTCGTCCAATGGTTTCCCAACGCGCTGTGGGAACACGCAGTCCGCTAAGATGGCCGGGCCCTCTTTTTATACATTTCGCCACACAACATTTCCAAACAAAGGGGGCGGCGGTGGTTCGCCGCAGGCATCTTCGATCCGCCGCCCCCTGTTGATTTATCACAGGGGTGTCTGGCGTGATAGATTCTTTTTTGGTTCCTGGCTCTTTAAAAAAAATCCCTTGCGGCTTCGGCCCAGCGCGCCAGCCACCCAGAAAGAGTTTGAAAGGGGTTAGGAGGCCCAACCAGCAGCTTCGCCTTAGGCAAAGTCCAGTTCCAGCTCTGTTGCACCGCAGAAGCGATAGTCCCAGTAATAGGAGATCGCCGCGGGAATGACGAGCCACCTCATGCAAAAAATGTCTTGGTCGGAATGGCAAATGGTACACTTCGCGGTAAGGTGTAGTCAAACTTGAGCCAAACGGCCGCGGACACACGCTCGTTACCTCTCGCCTGTATCCCAGCTCGCTGTAGAGCCGGGGGGAGCGAGACGAAGCGTGGACCAGCCGCTTCTATACAGCAGGTACAGCCGCTATCATGCACAAAAGGGCGGCGGAAGGGCGGGGCCGTGAGAAAGGTGGACCCGCACGCAAGTTGCCTTGCCTGCACGCCACTTTGCATTCGAGTACTCCGTAGGCGGCCGCAGACCAGGATGTCCTGCCAGCCCGATCGGGAGCATGCCGTTTTCATTCATGCTTGAAGGATCGCGTACCTCCCATGACCTGTAGGAGCATATGTGTGTAGATGCTCCCCTTTGTGTGACCGTCCGCGGTCATGTCGCGGGTGTTACACCAATGAGAACGATGCACGATTCCTCGCTCCATCATCTGTCGTATCCAACTGATGTGTCCTAAAAGGGTACACTCAGTCGGTGTCTTCAAGTCTTTGCTTGGCAAGGACTTAGAAGCAAACTCAGCGTCTATGGCCAAAGTGACCTCGATGCTCAGGCCGCCCAACTCAAGCATGTCCTTCAACTGAGTGGGAGTCAACGGCCCTGCATGGAGCTCGTACAGAGTCACGATCGTGGGATAGCAGTCCCCCAAGTTGTGGGCTGCTGCTGGCGTCTCCGCTGAATAGCTCAAGCGGGCTCGCAAGCGGTGAGACTCGAGGTGCGCGTCGAACAAGTGAACGACAGGCTTGCCAGATGGCGCGCTTGAGCGCCGTAGCAGGTTTGCCCCGCGAATACCATAGCCTTTGACTTGATTTCGCCACCGGCATCCCCACTCAGGCGTCGGCAACCTGAGTCGTTGCGCAGGTTAACTTCGCCAGCGGAGGTCATCGCTTGGTAGGCGATCTTCTCAAGGCAGGCCTGCCGCTCCCTGGTAGTCGCGTTCAGTCGTCGCATTTGTATATTGGTCGGTTCTTGGACACTATGTGGAGAGACTGCATGCACCATTAACCACACATGGGTGATTAATGCGTAGGCCAATGCGCCTCTGAGACTGACGAACATGTCTGCAACCATCTTGGATGCCTCGGCGTCAGCGTCGGCGCCAGTAAGTTCAGGATGTCGCATGAGACGGAGCTGTTTGATGCATTCATCTTGGTCCAATGTGACATTGCCCTCATCGTTGGTATACCGCACAGCGCAATTAGTATATGTATGCTTGTTGAGTCTACAAGTACCAACAATATCCTTTACGCACTTGACGCCATTGTCAATGGTGTCCTCGGCGCCGGCCATATTGATCTCATCAACGCGTCTGGCTGCGAGCAGGTCACTGCTCGTCTCGAACTCCTCGTCGTGGGAAGCGGGTCTAAGACCGAAGCCTCTCGTGGCCCTTCTGAGCTTTAGTGAGAAAGCCCGAGGTGCATCCTTGGTGCCGGCGCCCGGCTTGAGGCGCTGCGCGCAGTGCTTCGACTCGTCGTAGCGCTCGAATACTGGGGGGATCGAAGCACCGCAGCCGATCCAGGCGGCAGAGTAAAGCACACCACACGTTCTTTCTCACCAGTTGCCTCAGCAAGTCCCTGGTAGGTCAACCCTTTCAGGAAGGCAATGTTGATGTCGAGGAAAGCAATGACCCATTGCTTCTAGCACGCTGCCGCGCTTGCGAGTAGCCCCTGGCTCGACCGCCGCGCTGCCCCTAAGAAAGTCTCCGCGCCGAAAGCTTCAAGGCCCATTAAACCTCAGAGCACCAGGCGCAATCTGATGGCACGTCCCATCTCGCCCTTCTCATTCTCCACGAACTTACATGTATGCGCATACCTCGAAGTCATGATGTTTGATGTCAGATATTTCTTGCAGTTTGAAAAAATTCTTGTCATGCCATGTCTTAAGCTCAGTGCACAGGGCATTCGATACTTTCTCGGGGCCCGCCTGGACGTCAGCCTTCGCGAGGAGGTCGTCTTCCTTAACGACCGCAGCTCGCCTTGCAGCGGCGGTAACATATACTCGCACGGTGGTCACACGGTCGACATCGAATATCCTGTGCTGTTGTTCGGATAGGACGACCACTGACATTTCTGACTGCAGCAGAATTATATAGATTGTCCGCTTCGTGTGAAGCCTATCCGTAACTGCAGTCTTCGACCGTGGACCATAGTGGGACATGATACGTCTTCTCGATGTCGGAGTCGCGTGGGTGCCCCCACTTAGGCAGGTGCCCCCGCTGTTCTTCAGCTCAGGTGACCAACGCACGGTTGTCGGGACTCACATGCGCGGGTACAGTGTGGAGGTCGTCTAGTGGAGTTGCCTCCAATGGTTCCCATTCATCATGTTGTTCTGTATACCAAACTTCCATAGGATGTGCCTCAAGGTCCGCTTCCGATTCCACATACATCGTAGGAAGCCGACCATCCTGCTGTGGTGGTTCGGCTCCTGGGGCTTCTCTGGCGGTTCCATATTGTGTCGGTGTGTTTGCCAGTTCCTCAAAATTTGTAACGTCTTGGCCAAAGCCCGCTTGAGGTTTGGTGGACTTCAGGCACTGGGTGTTCCTCGTATATGCTGATCCAGTTTTATCATGATTATTGAGGGCAGTGCCTTCTGCTTCATAATCGTGAAATCCTGGATTCACATCGTTGCCAGGGGGGGCAATGTGAAACTGTCAGCGCAATGCACCGGAGGTAGCTCGTGAATACTCTAGTCCAACCCAACAGAAACTACATTCTCGATGCGAAACAAGTTCCTGATAAGCCACTGTTGCGCCAGATGTACCTTAAGATAAAGTCGGCTTGCACTTGTCATCTGACGCGCCCCCTTCTCGGTCGGGACATAGCCGCGTGTCATAGCAGGCCCCCCCGCAGGCAGACTGGCCCCGACTGTCAACACTGCCCGTAGCGCAGCGCTGTCGGAGCCGAGTTCCATGGCTATCAACGCTTCGATGCAGAGCGATTGTCGTGCGTCGCCGTATTGCACTTGAACATCGCGGTGTTCCACTCGAATGATGACTTGACCCCTGCCGCGATCATTTCTCACGACCGAGAACGGGCCGTTCCAGCCGCCCCAATCGCCTTTCGTAGTTGCGGGGCGATGATAATCAACCAAATATTCTTCATCGTAGTAGTACTGACTGGAGATAGTTGTCTTAGAACGTAATGCGCGATTGGCCTGGGCCACTGAAGTGGCCTGCGCGATAGCTTCAATGCGCGCCATACGTATCACCTGTTCTCGAAGGTGATCCGACGTTTCCGTCAGCTCTTCGATCCAGAACAGGCAAGTCACGGAGCATTGCGGGTTGCCGCCCAAACAAGGCGCTGCATGGAGACACCTCCTTATAAAAAGAAGAATGCGTCGGCGGCAAACAGGGCTTCATGCAGCAGTCGCGTGAACACAAGAGGAATGTCTAACCCTTTGAGTCCAGCTTCCATAACGTGAAGTAGATGGCGCAGTATGCCATTTCTGGCCACGATCGTCGTAGCGCGTTGTCCACGCGCGTGCATCCTCAGCTCAGCGCCCTTTGCCTTAAGGACAGATTTCGCAATGTCGTTGTTGAGGACACCCTCCCCATCGGAGTAGAGTACCTTGGCAGGTCCGAATTGCATCCAGCACTGATGGTGCGCATCTAGGATTATGGTCATTGTCTTCACCGGTATCTCCATCCCAGTGACATAGCGAATACAACGATCGATGATGTGAAATGTCTTGCGTAGTTGTTTGTAGAACATGAGGCCGCATTCAACTTCTTCGCTTAACTTGCCATGTAGCGCAGTGGATTGCATAACCGCGTGTCCAGGCTTGCCCCGAACCCTGCA